TAATCAAGCAGTGAAAATAGTAGGGAGTGTGACCTCGCTTAGCACGTATCCGGAGAGGCAGATGATCCTCAGCTGCTCTCCCGCGCCACTTTCCCGTAGAAACTGCTCCTTCGTGACCGGAGAGGACATTGTCAGCCAGTGAGCGTCTTTCGCATTCACTTCGTCAGGACCTCCCTCGCCTGGCCAGTCACCGCGCCACCTCTTCAGCGCCTGCTCTCAGACAACATATCCAGATTATTTACTGTGTTGTAATTGTTGTAATAAAGAGACAAGCCGTTTAACCACTATCACTGCCCAGCCTATCACAGTCATTAATTGAGGCATCACCAGCCGCTTTTACACACACATATATGAGAATGTGTGTGTGTGTGTGTGTGTGTGTGTGTGTGTGTGTGTGTGTGTGTGTGTGTGTGTGTGTGTGTGTGTGTGTGTGTGTGTGTATTAGGGTTATAACTTTTTTAACTTTTTTTTCCAAAATCAAAGTCCTTCATCATGATTGAATGAACTTTTTTGTGTAATTGAAGAAACCAGACTCCCTCGAAACAAAATGTATTAAATACACATTACAGCCAATGATATGATAAGTTATCACAAGGGCGATTACAAGTCAATTGGATTGAAAATGGATCAATGATAAGTTGTACTGCCATCATAATACACTGGAGTTTTAGTTTCTATTCTTGCTTTCACTTTATAAGCCATGTAAATTTGGGGAAATCTGTCTCGTTTAGTAGTGATGTACTGTAGCCTACAGCTTTCCCAGAATCCTGGAGTTTCATTTTCACTTTCACTGTATAAGCCATGTAGACTATAGAGTCGGGGAAATCTGTTTTGTTCAACTAGTGATATGTTGTAGCCATCCCAGAATTCTGGAGTTTCAGTTTCTGTTCTCACTTTCATACATGCACTACCATGTCGAATTGGTGAAGTTTGTGTTGTTCAACCTGTTCCATAGTGAATGGTTGGCTCAGAATGTCACACAGAAAGAGTTACAGCGAAGTTGATAGAAACAAGATTTAGGAAAAGAATGTTATTGACTTCAAGAAATCCACGATGGTAAGAGGGCCTACCCATTAGTGAAAAACCTCATTAATGGACAGAACAAGAATGACACTAAAGAGAAACATAATTGGTCACTTTAATTAAACACATGGCACCAGACATCAAAGGCAGGAAAGATAGACTGAAGAAAATTTCCAAGGAGGTGAAGCTATTGTGGACTGAACAACTGAACATTCCAATAATCTCTGATCAAGCAGTAAGTGCAAAGTTGGAGAAAGTGGTGCAAGGGTTTGATAAATACATAGAAATTAATCAGAACCAGAAGACTTGAGATATAATAGTTACCAGCCCGATGATGCCCACTCCTCCACGAGGAAACACCACAAAACTGTGATTGCCAAGAACCTGGTCACTGGCACAAAACTTTCGACCAGCAAAGCTGCTAGGATCTGCCAGAAGCTGTCAGAGGAAGGAGTCAACATCCCCACACCATCCCAACCAGCAGTATACAAGGCACTTTTTAGGAGAACAATCCAGGTAAGTTCAATAAAAAATCGTGCTCTGTTCTGATTTACAGTACTGGACAGTGGACAGTGGGCTTGACTTAGCATTGTCTTTTGCTCAGAGCTGTGAGCAATTACAATTGCTAAAGTTGGAGCAATTAAATTACAATTACATTTTATTCGATTACAAATACTTTATTCAAATAAATATGGAAATGATACTATAATTTCAGCAACAAGGAGTAATTGAGGTGTAATTTTATAAATTACACAAATTAAGGTAGTAATTAATTTAATTACAATTACTTACTAATAAAATATATCAATTACAATAATTGATAATTTGCCGTAATTAATTACGGCAAATTACAATTACAATTACCACAGCTCTGCTTCTGCTTTTCCTTCTCGCAGGTCGAAGACGAAATGAAGGATGAAGGTCCCTCCATTTGAACGGCAAGCATCTTGAGGGACGAGAGTATCAGGCAGTTGTTTTGAAGAATCCTGACTCCGAGATCAAGCTAGCAGCGCTGGATCTGAATGACAGCAAGGCCGAAAACATTGCAAATGGCATCTCTGATGTGATCGACGAATGCAAGCTTTCGGGTTCAATTAACATGATTGTAGCTGACACCACCAGGGAACAGGGAAGCAATTGTGGTGAGGCTTCAAAGAATGTTCACCAGCAGAGGCCACCAGGCACCACAATTCATCAACTGCCAACACCACGTCCTGGACAGAATACTACGCTTATTGATGGACCAGGAGCTCGGAGCCAATACAAGGTCCCCAAACATTGAATACTTTTTTGTACGCAATCTGATTAACAACTACGAAGCATTGAAATCCAAATTTGTAAATGGAACTGATGAGATTACTGATCGGTCAGGGTGGAGAGATGATATGCGGTTTCTTTACCTCCTGACAAGAGTTATGCGGTTCCATGATGAACATGGTCGATTCCCACGTGGAATTTTTAAATATCCCCAACATCA